ATGGTTAAGTGGAATACTTTCCCTTTTTAGTCCCTCCGACTTGTAAATCTTTCATTTACAATTTATAGCCGACCGACACAAGAACAATATTATTACTTAAAATTACATAAATATCCTTTAAACTCTAAGGAAATATTTGTAAGTTGGAATCATACAAATAAACGGTATTAAAGGTATTATCATAATCAATATCGTTGGTACGTGAAGAATAATGGGCTACCACTAAAAAATTACTGAGTACATAAAATAACAGAAAAACGCACTATACATTTAAACAAAACCTGTTAATACAAGCTATCATAATACACAATTGGTGCTTTCCTTCTGAAGTTATATTGTCAAAATTTTAGTATTTGAGGGAAAGTCATTTTTGTCTTCATTTTATTTTTTTTACATTTTGTATTTTGTGAAAGAAAGAAATAAATTCAAAAATAATAATTTACTCAATTTTTTCCTGTACTTCACTCCAGTAAATAGTCTTTGTTTAAATTTATTTGCTTAATAATACAGGCTTATTAATATATAAATGATAGTTCAAAAAATAAATTATTCCAACCTTCAGAGAAAGGTTGCTCAGTGTGTCTCACCCGATTGAGGGGTGCAAGTCCTTGGCTCCTTATAGAAAGCGCGTAGGAATGCCACCCGAATGTAGCGAATATCCGGGAATATAATAAATGTTTTATAAAAATAAGTGAGCATGTAATTAATATAGTTTAGGTATTTGAGTTACATCAGTTTTATAGACAACTTTTACTTACATTGTTCCAATTTATACACACCCAATTAATTTGACAATAGACAAAATATATTTCCCTAATTATTTAACAGAAGAAGTATATTGTTTTTCTTCCAGCTGGCTGGTAGCTAGTTAGCGTGGTAGCGCTATTCATATTATCTAACTCGCATTTGTTTTATTACCCATATCTTTGATATTAAATCCTTCCACGCGAAAGTAAAATATTCTGAGTCAACAAAAACACACATTCAAGCTATTTAAAAGATTTTCTAAGTTTGGAGGGTCTCAATAGTTCTCGATATACCACTGTGACCTGACCCTAGAACTACCTAAAGTTATGCACAGCCTTGAAAAATAGCAAAAAGAAGGGAAAATTCAAGAGGTGGAGTTGAGATGGGAAGTTAGTTTCCGAGTGGTCGAAGTCACTATAACTCAAGTGGTAGAGCAGCGGCGTATCTAGTCGAAGGTCGTGGGTTCGAATTCCGCTCGTGACATAGACTTTTTTAACTCAACTAAAAACAACACAACACTATCGACACGACACGCATGAATGGCACAATTACACAGAACACAAACACTTTGATCCCTGAAGATGATCTCAATAAAGATCGAAACGTTGGCACGATAAAGAAAATGTTTTTCTGAAACCTACATCACACCAGACCGCATCTCACGATTTCTGAATAATTATCGATTAACGGTCACTAAAACACACATTTATATTATAGTATTATTGTGTATAGGTAGGTCCGCAGTATAAATGATATAAAGAATGGGACCAAGAATGCTTCCCTGTGGGACGCCGGCTTATATCTGTTTTACTTCCGAGAACTCGATGCCACACCTCATTCTGAACCATCAGACGGTTAGGTACGATTTCAGTGAGTGGTTAGGAAGTTTATAAGTTAAGTTCAAGTTTATAAAGCATGCCCCTGTGGCCGACTCTATAAAAAGCCTGTGCTACGTCAGGAGATCTTTTATAAAGTAGCAAAATCTATAGTACGTCTCATTATATAAATTTGTAAAACAATTTTTTAATTTTTTTCCTTTTTAGTTATACTAATTAGTTTCGTTATTTGATTATTTGATTTTATTGGCTTAATTAAAATAAGTACGAATTAAATTGCTAGGTTTCTATTGAACATATTGATTTTCATATACTTCAGTTCCTTTTTTTTTCTTTTATAATCTTGTCAGTACAAAAAGGACTGACTGTTGGATAAAACGTAATGAAAGTAGGTAAAAGCAAACTTTTTTTAGAGCAAGAACAATTTCTTCGGGAAGTGGAAACCACTTTAGAGTAATATAAATTCGAGGTATAAAGGCGAACACCTAGCTGTCCATAATCCTATTCAAATTTAAACAATATGCTCTTTAGTGCTGGAGTTTATTAAGGAGGCCGAAGTTGATCCTTAAATATGATCGTACTTTTTCGGTTTTAAATAACAATAAAAAAAATGAAGAAGGAGGGGAAAAAGCCTAAAAAGCGAAAAAGAAAAGCCGTCTGCCAGAAGTTCGAGTTAATACAAATTAATAGCCCCAGAGGGGAGAATAATGTTTTTAAAATGTATTGAAAATAAATCCCGTTTGGGTCCGGTTTTGTAGGGCGGTGGAGGGAAATCTGGTTATTTATTGTCTTCCGAGGATAGGCGTAGGTGTCACAGACAGGTATGCGGATGCCGTCCGTCCTGCCGAGCCCGGACACCGAAGGCGAACGCTGAAGAAATTCCGAGAAACAATTCCCTCCTGAGGGACCAAGCCTTTTTATTAGGCCATAAATCATTTCATTGTCAATTTTGCCCATCTTCCATACTCCAAGCTTAAATGACATTCGGGATTTGAAAGCTTAAAAGATGTAAACACGACCGGCTTCACTATTTTAGTTTCTTATCCCCTTAATCCCATCCCAATACCGAATAAAATAAATTACAATTTAATTATTGTAATAAATTCGCAAATATTTATATTACAGTGTGTCAGTTTATTTTTCGCCTAGCTTTTCCACAAATATTAACAGAAAAACAATCCAAATTAGTACAATTATTTTCTATTTTAGATGTTCTAGTTTCGAACATTTTAGTCAGTCCATTCGCATGAAATGGCTTGTCAGATAGGATCCGGCCTTTCGCCTTCATCAGTGATCGTTAGTGTGTTTTTTTTTCTCAGGGTGTTTTATATGTTTGTCGCGAGATGTGAAAGGAATCGTGTTTTTATGTTTAAGTCTAGGCGGTTTGATTTGTTCTAATTTTGATCGACAGTCCTTTTTCCTTTTTATTATGTTATAAGATTAATCATACATGATTGAGTTTTACGTGTTCACGAACTTTTTCCTATTGAATCTGTACATTTTTATTTTTTTGAATATGTCAATTTTTCGTCATTAGTAATTTGAAACATGTCTCTATTTGTGAGAGTGTGTTTGTTTTTTAATTTGTTAACCAGTTCTATTATGCTGTGCATGTTGTCTTGTTGTTCTGAGTGTTCTTTCCTATTTCACGATGAACATATAAACTTGTGATAACGAAAGATAAACCAAAATTGTCAAAAACGCCCAATCCACGAAAATGCCTTTACTTTAATACAAATCTGTATAAATACTCAATTAATTATACACAATTTTTTTCGAAATGAAAAATTTGTGTCACAGGCGGGATTCGAACCCACGACTTTCGGCTCAATAAGCCGCTGCTCTACCACTAGAGCTACCGTGACTTCGATCGCCCATACCACAAACTTCTCATTTCGACTACCCGATCTTATTCTAATTATAAGCAAATCGCGGCTTCATATAGAAACACTTTTTATTAACGATTATACTAGATTAGCGGGACTGTGTACGATTCTATATGAAGCCGCGATTTGCTTATAATTAGAATAAAATCGCGTCTAAATTATAATTATAATTAGAATAAAATGAGAAGTATGTGGCATGGGCGATCGAAGTCACGGTAGCTCAAGTGGTAGAGCAGCGGCGTATTGAGCCGAAAGTCGTGGGTTCGAATCTCGCCTATGACACAAATTTTTCATTTCGAAAAAAATTGTGTATAATTAATTGAGTATTTATACAACTAATAGAAGCTGATAAAATTTAGAACAAATCTATATATTGAGGTAAAAGCATTTTTATTCTCTCATTTATTTATATATTATTTTCCCGTAACCTACGAAACCAGATATTTTTAAAAGAAAAACGTCGCAAATTATAACTGCATTTTTACATAAAAAATAACACTATGTACTTATGTTGGTTAATTTTCTGACATGTTCTTTACATCGAAAATTTATTAGTCTATAAAGTTTTGATCTTTTCCTTGGTAATCGTATGTAGCATAAATCGACTCTTATTGCCTTGCTATGTGTCCAAAGGTTGTCAGTCGTTTAGCTTATAATAAAATATTAAGCGATATAATAAAAATACAATATAATATTCCGTTCGGTAATACCTCTTTGGCTTTTAATTCCTTTTTGTAAAATTATCAAAACAATCCTTTCTTTCGATTTTATCTGTTGTCATTTATCTCAAAACTACACAGAAAAAATTCGTACCTTTTTCAATATCATTTCAATTACTGCGGAAGTTTTCATGTCTATAAATTTATGAATATTATTGTTGGTATTATTATGCCTTTACTTTGGGTAAATAGGATGTGTTGATTGTACGATATAGAATAACAGGCTGGAGGATAGGTTTTTATATAGTGTTTGGATATTTAATGAAGGGAGTTTTTGATCTCCTTCGCTGTAAATTCAATGTTAATTTCATTAGGATCGAAGAATTCTTAAGTATTAATCTTGTATTGTTTATATTCCTTAACCTCGTAAATATTATTGATAGTTCCAAAGCAAAACTCGATAAAGTAACTGAATATTTTCATTCAAATCGGCATTTTAGTTTTTTAATATTAACATTGGTCGCCGAGAATCAAATAGATTACACGACATTTGAAAAATGGGAAAAAGGAGGGAAAATTCAAAAGGTGGGATTGAGATGGGAAGTTAGTGTCCGAGTGGATCGAAGTCACGATAGCTCAAGTGGTAGAGTAGCATCTAGCTGAAGGTCGTGGGTTCGAATCCCACTCGTGACACTGACTTTTTTATCTCAGCCAAAATCCTTAATTAATTGAAAGCTATTAATTGGTCAAGTGGACCACGAAAACTAGTGAATTTAATATTAACGTTGATATAAATTATAATGGAGATAATGTTAGAATAAGTTTATAAAGATATTTCTTATTACCTAGCAAAAAAAAAAAAAATTAATTACCTGGCCGCAGGGCGTCAATAGGTACAGATTGATACGGCATGGAATAAGGGTAGCCGTCCTTCCTCACTCCAGTTTTGGCTTTCCGTCTCGGCCTGTATTTGTAATCGGGATGTTCTTTCATGTGCATCGCCCTCAGCCTTTTAGCTTCGTCGATAAAAGGCCGTTTTTCGTTTTCCGTTAGCAGCTTCCATTCAGCCCCTTTGAGGAATATAGGAGAGAATTACTATAATGATCAAATTCAAAATCAAAATTGATAAATATCCAATTGAATTATAAACTATATTGTTGATCATATTGTTCTATACACAAATTTAAATATATGAAATTTGTTTATAAATATTTTGTGGGTCGTATCCCAGCACCACCCGAATCAAACAACATGTTTGCACTACAATAAGTCTGGTCTCAATCACTCCTGCAAACTCGATATTCCTTGGAGCGAAGTCGAAACAAGTCCATTCTCGCTAATAATTTACTTTTACTCTCCAGTCACAAGATAATACTCGGGGTGGGGTTAAACAACGCCTTCCTTGCACTCCAATAAATTACATTCATTCCCATAATTAACATAAACGCAACACTCAATTCAAACATAGAATTCTGGTCTCAATCACTCCTACAAACTCGATATTCCTTGAAGCGGGGTCGAACCAACTCCATTCTCGCTAATAATTTACTTTTATTCTCCAGACACAAGATAATCTTCGGGTGGGGTTAAACAACGCCTTCCTTTCACGCCAATAAATTACATTCATTCCCATAAATTAACATAAAAGCAACACTCAATACAAACATAGCAATCTGGTCACAATCACTCCCCCAGAGTACTCGTTATTCCTCGTGGTGGGGTTAAGCAACCCTTCCTTTCACGCTAATAATCACTTTCATTCCAATAAGTTAACATAAAAACAACACTCGATACAAACAATTACAATAAACAATGTTCTTGATATTGATAGATATACCATGCCTATTGCTAAACATATGGACTCCTTTTTTTTTCTAGTTGTTGTTTTTAAATATCTTTTACATCATAACATGTCAGTTCTGGAATGAAGTTATGTAACTATTAAATATAGTTGTTTAAGTAAATAAGATTATATATTTTCGAATTTTTCTTTTTTACTGTGGTTAAGTTGAAACCGGATTCTATTCCATTTATTTTTCTTTAATCATGTGCCTACTAAATTAGTTGTAATAAACTCCTGCTCAAAATTAACGCACCACCTTAATTTTTAAACAGAAATTCTTTTTAGAGAAATCCAGCTAAATCTCTTCATGTTTATTCTCTTTTTTATGCTTCACAATCCCACAAAAGTAAACAAGAATTGTTTACAATCGTGTTAATCCGCTTTGAAATGGATTTGGTAAGATACACAAGAGTTTCCTCCTGGTTTATTCCTCAGTTTCACTGCATCTGCTTAACAGACACCATTTCTTTTGGAAGTTTAAACTTTAATTTAGANACAATACTAAAAATAAAAATAACGTTCAAAAAACACCTGAGAAAAACATATGGTGAAATATTGAAGTGGTGCGTTAATTTTGAGCAGGAGTTTATTTAACTGCTAAGTCTATTTGCACATTTGCCAACAGTTTGATGTACCGAGTGTACACCTGCCATCCCATCCTCAAACTACCACCCTAACCTTTCCAGACGACACAGCGATCATTTCAAGCAATTCTGATCCAGTCGAAACCTTCAAGAACACCTCACACTACTGGAATCATGGTGTAAAAAAAGACTAAAATTCAACCCAGAAAAATCCACTCACATAACCTCCACCCTCCGCAAAAAGACCCCTCCTCCAGACTACTTCAATCAAATAAACCCCCCCCCCTCAATTGCGGACAAGGTGCGCTACCTAGGACTATACATTGCCAAACGTCTGACGTGGAATCCCCACACACTGAAACGACAAGAAGTTATGAAACTTTACAGAGGACGACTTCTTGACAGACGTTCTAACCTACCTCTCTTAAACAAAAGACTACTTTGTACCCTATACATAGGGAATTTATAAGAATCGGTGACTCAAATGTTCCTTGGCCCAATAGTGTTCAATACTTTGGTTTACACCTCGATAGCAAACTTAACTTTGGTATCAACACTTGTAAAAAGGTTGAAAGATGGAAGTGTGCTATCAAGGCTCTGTTCCCTTTAATGGGTAGAGAATCTGGGATGAACCCCCAAAATAAACTCATTATATATAAAACCATAGTTAGACCAATGCTGTTATACGCCTGTCAGGTATGGAGCTACACAAGTAACACCAACAAAAAGTGCCTACAAACTACTCCAAATAAATTTTAAAGTTAATAACATTCTCTTAAAGAAGTGTTCGTATAAGCTATATGCACGGAATTTTAAACATCTCATACATTAACGATGATATCAAAAGGATAACTAGCTCCTTTTATGAACGTAGCGCTGAGAGTACAATTATGACAGTAAAGAATGGAGGAAACTATAACCTCAACAAAAATTGGAAACACAGGAGGATCAAACACATTTTAGTATGACTGCTTTGTATATTTATTCACTGTGTTATTATTTACTAAATTATTTATTAAATTGTTTAATTTTACTTCTTTATATATGTATTTATTTACCAAATTAGTAAATGTTTGACTATATATGGTACAAGTCTATTCAATGATTTTAATTTATAATAATTAGTAATTATTTATTAACTTGCTTATTTATTAATTTATTTATGAAATTAACTATCATTAAAGTAAATGTGTTGTTTATCATACTTATCTATGTAGTCAATAATTTATAATTTATAATATATGTAATTATTTGTAACTTCCCTATTTATTAATGTATTCTTTCTGCAAGTCGTTTTTATAATAATTTTCACCACTTTTCTTATTTCTCTAGGCCAAATAAAAAAAATTTAACTTAAGCGCTCTGCCACAAAGATGTATAACGTCCTAGACATTTCCCTTTGTATTCACTTTTTACAAAATGTATGTAATAAATAAACTACAAACTCACTTCACTACTTTATATCACACAGTGAAAGCCGATATGAACTTATGGACTAGAAGTGTGGGGCTTAGCCAAAATTCCAAAATATTACGCATCCAAAGAGCCCAATCCATAATCTTCAGAAAAATCCTTAATGCTCCCTTTTATGTGTCCAACGACACTTCTCATATAGGCCTAAATACTCCTTTTGTCCAAGATGTAATCCACTCTCGTTACCAAAAATTTTTCACAAACCTCCCAACCACTATAAATTCTCAAATTCAAATCCTCTCATCTCGACGAATTCCTTCCAACCCTCTTCGCCGACTAAAAAGATCTTCTATCCAATGACAACAATTGAATAAAAAATACTTAGGAGTACTACCAGTGGGTAGTTTCTCCACTCTTCTTTAAAGATTTACTTATTCATACACTATTACTAAATACCAAAATGAAGGTAGTTGTAATATACAATAAAAGCAATAAAAAAATCTATTTTTTTGGAAAAAAACCAACAGTTTGATAAAATTGTCCCGCTTCTTTTCGCTGACAGTTTTGTTCAGAATCGTTTCGGCGACTTAACTGACTGCTTACAAATGCTTAACAGCCTATTCAACTGTAAACGATAGCATTTTACAATGCAAAATTCGTTAAACCAGTAAATCAATTTGTCGTTAGGATCTTATTTTTGCTATATAGGGTCGTGCTAGTAATAGTGTGATACCTGTAGGAAATTAAGCCGAACGGGATTATGTTGCCAGGATTTTAGTAAAGTTACTTGATTCTGGTCGCCTATTCAAGCAGAATAGTTTGATAAAATCTGTTTAGGCATTTCCAATTGATCAGGGATCAATGAATTCAGTCTGCTTGGAAATGTTTAACAAAAATTTGAATTTAAAAAATCCAAATCCGTTAAAAACCGATTAGATTTTTTTTGCTACCTGCTGATTGAGAACAATAATTTAGACACCTATTGAAGTTGGCATTAAGCCGGACAGGATTACAATACCTAGCCAACCTTTCAGATAAGCCGATTGATCTGCTCCGATTAGACTATCCAGACTAAATATTTTGATCAGACTCGTTTAGGAAGGTTTAATAGTCCGTAGACGATTCAACTGGAAAACATCTTTTCTATTTTAAAAATTGACGATCCGTTAAGCCCGTAAATCTATTTGGCTTTAGGGACTTATTTTTGCCCGCTTGAATTACTGTGTCTAGTAACAGTCTAGACACTTTTTGGAAATAGTTTTAAGCCGGAACGGGACTTCAGACCTAGCCGACTTTTCAGAAAAGTTGTTTGATCGTTTCCGATCCAAGTACACTTATTAAAATTGTTTTGACCGGTCAGTACTTTCAATGGATTAGGGATAATTGGAGCGCTTACAAATGTTTAACAGAAGACTATTTGTATTTGTTCTTGTTTAATTTAGAATATCAATATTTGTTAAATCTTTAAGTCTAGTCAGCGTAAGATTTTCACTTTTTACTACATCCTGGAGTATTAAACAATGGACCACTAATTCAGGCTCATTTATGCACCTTCAATGGACCAGGAATGATAACTCTGCATTTATTTAATAACCAGCAAACCATTAAACTGGGAATGATCTTGTCTAATTTTAAAATTCAAAATCGATTATTAGACAATATTTTTCTGTAGATACATATTTTTTCTTCCTCCGGAATTGTTAACGTTCAAAATTGTTTCATCGTTTCAGGTCGTCCTGGACTATCTTCTGCAGGCTACAGAAACAAGCTAAAGGGAAGCCCTGAAATAGAGTAGTGACTGAAGCTTTTTGTGAATGTTCCCGAAAAAACCAATAGAAATGTCTTGATAATAAAGCAGATTCACATAGACAGACATCCTTTTGAATCTGAACGATGAAAATTAAAGGAAGAGCTTACACATTACTTCATGTCTTTAGCAGAAACTGTACGCCACTAGAATGTTTGTAGGTGTTTCTCAGTCCTTCAACAATGTATGGCATGATGGTCTATTATACAAGTTAAAACTATTTGTTCCCTAGATTTATTATCTGATTAAACGATCATACCTTAAGTAGAGATTTTTCACAGTAAACCAGGGATTATGAAGTTCTGAGTTGAAAGTAGTACTTGCAGGTCAATACGTGGTCCACTGTTGTACACAATTTTTATTTCTGGAATGCGCGTAAATGAAAATGCACGTACCGCCATATTAACAAGTAACACTTCTATACAAGCTATGCTAGAAAACCACATATCTACAATTGAAAAACGCAGTGTTGGAAAATAAAGTTTAACCCCTCAAAGTCACAACTCATCACTTTTATCGATCCCTATGCCATGACTCATGTCCTAGAATATACTTATACAACGAACCTGTTCCTAAATTTGACGATGTTACCTACCTAAGTCTTACATGTGTTGGAAGATGGATTGAAAAATGGCAAAAAGGAGGAACAATTCAAAAGGTGGAGTTGAGATAGGAAGTTAGTGTCCGAGTGGATCGACGTCACGATAGCTCAAGTGGTAGAGCAGCGGCGTATCTAGCCGAAGATCGTGGGTTCGAATCCCGCTCGTGACACTGATTTTTTTTATCTCAACTAAAAACCTGATTAATAGAAAGATATTAATTGGTCAAGCGGACCACGAAAACTAGTGAATTTGATAGAAGACTAAGTTGTCACAGTAGTATCACAATCTGAAATTGAAATCTAAATTGCTGGTTGTATACATTATATATACAATTAGAATAATTAATTGAAAAAAGTAACTTGGTTAATTGACTACTAAAACATAAAGGGATTAATACATTAATACATATACAGTTGACGATACAAATAAACAAAATAAAACAAAAGGTTAGACCAATTTATATGTATGTCTTAGTATTAATACCCTAGCTGTATTATATATATATATANTATATATTTTTTTTTTTTTTTTAAATAAATATTTATATACTAGACTTTAAAGAGGTACTTTCCTTGCTTTGTTTGTTATTGAACTATTATTAAAAATGTACTATGTATATTAATTTTTTTAATGATGATAAGCAAATTAGGATGACCATAGACGGTCAAGCTCAAAAATAAAAACCTCAAAGTTTCTCAGTTTTTAGACAACTCCTCTGAAAATTATTTTAAAATACTTAAGAATAATACATTAATTTTAGTGGATAACATAATATATTATCAAACAAGAACTTGATCCTTCTCTTGTGTCTTCACCCAAACAATAATGATCGATCGGAATTTCCATATAGTATTAAATGAAATTTCTACTGTTTCAATATAATACATAATTCAATTAATTAAGGTTTTTAGTTGAGATAAAAAAGTCAGTGTAACGAGCGGGATTCGAACCTTCGGCTTGATACGCAGCAGGCACTAACTTCCCATCTCAACCCCAGCGCCGTATCAAGCCGAAGGTTCGAATCCCGCTCGTGACACTGACTTTTTTATCTCAACTAAAAACCTTAATTAATTGACTGATATTAATTGGTCAAGCGGACTTCGAAAACTAGTGAAAATAATACATAATGTATACATAAAAATCATGAGAATGTTTTGCCGGATTTTTAGTGTCGCTTCGAAATAACGATCATTTTTTCCCCTTAGGGGAGACATGAATCATAAAAATTGTGACGATTGTTAAATCCCTGTATTATAATCCGAGATGGACTCCGATAGGATGTGGGACTATTGTCATCTACTCTTCTAAAAGAATCATAGTGGCACATTAGAAGGCATTCAAGTCAAGAATCCATTGTAGTTAAGTTAATGCTGCATCTAGATGCAGGTGAAACAAATAATGACAAAAGGCGATGTGGGCAGCGGCACTCCTTCCCTCGACTGTCTACTGGCAATTGGAAGAGGATTGAATAGTGGTGACCGACAGCTGAAAATAGCTGTATCCCTCGAGTTGACAGCCTATTTCCCTTTGGGTGGCAATGCGGCGAGAAAATTGCTGGAACGGCCGAAAAGCGCATATAGCATCCATTGTAATCCCCCTGTACTGTCAAACGTCATTTGCATCAGTTTCATTATCTTTCATTACCGTATCACAGCGACTTAATTGAATAGTATTCATACTACATAAACTATAAGGTTTAGGAAAATCAATAACAAAGTGAAACACATACCCTTGAACTGTACATACAGGTGAATACTCCATGGATAGTGGTTTAATCCTTTCGCTTTTTAGTTAATTTGTTTCTATGATTATAAAAATTTTAATATTCTACTTCTCATTAAAAATTCCTTCATGTAAAGAGTGACTTTACGAATTTTCTCGTTACATAAAACGTAAATAAATCAAACACAGATGAAAACGATGATAAGTCAAATTTTCTGTCACACTATTTGTCCAAACATTTGTCAGGTACTATTATCAATTTGTGTCATCTCAACTATTATATTAACGTCAGTAAGATGGAATTGAAGCCACAATCCATCCAGAGGCCTTTAAAATGTCCGTTCTACATGTTTTATGTTTAAAAATGATATCTTTCTTTTTATGCCACCTTAAAAGAAAAATACTAAGTTACAAATAAATAATATATGGCATTAATGGTGAAAAACGCTAAATAAACGGTTAGACAATATAAATTGTAATATGGTACATAATCAGGTCATTGAAAATCGATGATCATGAACCTCCATCAACTAGAGGTTTATTCGGAAATCGTGAGATGCGGTCTGGTGTGACGTAGGTTTAGAAAAACATTTTGTATATCGTGCCAACGTTTCGATGTTTATTGAGATCATCTTCAGGGCCTCGGATTTACAAACATTGTTTAAATTTAACAAATACATGTACATTTTTTATATTCAATCGAAGTATTTTTACTCACTCAAAGTGTTTGTGAAACTAGTGAGGAGAAATACTTCGATTGAATATAAAAAATATTTTTTGCATTGTATACATTCACTTTTTCCACTTCCTACATGTATTTGTTAAATTTAAAAAATGTTTGTAAATCCCAGGCCCTGAAGATGATCTCAATAAAGATCGAAACGTTGGCACGATAAAGAAAATGTTTTTCTAAACCTACGTCACACCAGACCGCATCTCACGATTTACGAATAATCATCGACTAACGGTAATTATAATTACATTAATCCATATATGTTTAGTGGTCATAATTTACCATAATAATTATTCTTTATATCTAAGGTATTGATTGAGATGAAAAAATTAGTGTCACGAGTGAGATTCGAACCCACGACCCAGCTCAAGTTGTCAAAAAAGCGGCGTGCGTATTGAGCCGAGGGTCTTGGGTTCGAATATCGCTTGGGACACTAACTTTTTCATTTCAGCCGAGATCTTAGATTAAACGAATAATTGATTATAATTATATTATCACTACACAAGTATACTTTTATTTTGATATATTTATGACTTATACAAATTTTTACATTGTTTGGTTACAAAAATGAAAAACTGAGATGAAACACGCCAGAAATAATTATCATTTTTCACGACTTAATTGTTTTTATTATATAAATCATAATTTTATATTAGATTTGCATTTATGTAAGCTCATACTCATAAGTATACACACATGTACAGAGTTGAGCCTATCACTTATAGCAGTCCACCGGCAATTCCAGCTTTTGTAATTTACAATCATTGACAGGTGACTCCGGTGATGGCAGTCCTGGTTCGGACCTCCGTGTGCTGTCTACAGCTAAGTCATTTTAGCACACGATGCATGCAGTTCCTAAATCCAAAACCATTCACACTCTCACCCCAGGTATTCACCTTTTACACATATATAACTAAAGTTCGATCTGTATTCAATATTCCGACATCAGCTCATTTACATTACACATTCACGCCAGCAAATACATTCACTCTCAACACACGCTGGATACACAAAACTATCAGTACTTTATACAATAAAACAACGGGATTCGGAACAAGGGGCCGGACATACAACATACAGAGAGTATGGCACATGGAGCTAAGGAATTGAACCCCTCAGTTAGGAAGGACACATCGAGCAAGCTTTCTCTGCCTATGGGACACATACTTGGGCATCGGCAAAAGTAAATGTCCGTATGTCAACTTCGCATGGCCTATTCTTAATCATGTGAGGATGTCCCTTCTTCTGGTTAGGTCCTCCGATTTTTTATTACAAGAAACTGTTACTATGAAAATCGATAATGACGGATTTGTTTCTCTTCAAAGAACCTTTTGTACAGCACCCTGTATGAGGGAGACAAAGGTCTTATAATTTAAAGGATGAAAGATTAATAAACCTGTAAATGAAAAAAAAATTCTAATCCTGCAGTATTTTCCAAAATCTAAAATTCTCAATAACTAGTACTACGGAATTCATTTACCTACATGTGTTTGTACTAAATTAATAGTTCCTTACCTAATCTCTTCGATATTTCGGAGTTGTGCATTTTGGGATTGTCCTGGGCGATTTTTCGTCGTTGCAGCCTAGACCATACCATGAACGCGTTCATGGGCCTTTTTATGTGTTCTTCTCTTTTCGAAATTTGAGACGGGCTCTGCTGAGTCTGTATCGGCTGAGGCTGTTGTGGCATGAAGTTGGGCTCACCCATGGCATTCCCAGATCTGAAACATTAAAAAGTAATGAACACATTTTTGCTAGATTTTTTAACAGTTTCGAGGCAGAGCAAATAAATATAGCCCAATGGCTATACACTGTAATTAGACACAAAATTACCTATGGATCACTAATCTGGTAGACCGAAAGTCAACAAAAACTACCCATCCAAACACTAGGCAGCTATCAAAGATTAGCAAATCCATGTATCACATTGCCCCTGTGATACATCAGATGCAATGATATGGTATACAGATGGCTCTAAAACAAACGAAAAAAACGATCGGGGTCGAAGCCAAAATATGAGCAATCATTAGGCAAGTACACTTAGGTCTTTCAAGCAGAATTGTATGCCATCAATGTTTGTTCCCTACAAAAGCTTTTTTGGTGTTTTTTGCGTTTTTCTTGAAAAATACGTTACAAAAACCGTGCCTACGAGCCTTTTACATCGAAAAGTCAATAAAAAAATTTCCGATTTTTTTGGGGTATATTCGTTTTTCTTGAAAAATAAGTTAAAAAACGTGCCTACGAGCCTTTTACATCGAAAAGTCAATAAAAAAAATTTCCGATTTTTTTGGGGTATATTCGTTTTTCTTGAAAAATAAGTAAAAAAGTGCCTACGAGCCTTTTACATCGAAAAAGACAATAATAATTTTTTCGATTTTTTTGGTTTTTTCATGAAAAATACGTAAAAAAACGTGCCTACGAGCCTTTTACATCGAAAAAGACAATAATAATTTTTTCGATTTTTTTAATGTTTTTTCGTTTTTCTTGAAAAATACGTAAAAAAGCGTGCCTACGAGCCTTTTACATCGAAAAAGACAATAATAATTTTTTCGATTTTTTTGCTTTTTTCATGAAAAACACGTAAAAAACTTACCTACGAGCCTTTTACATCAAAAAAGACAATAATAATTTTTTCGATTTTTTTAATGTTTTTCGTTTTTCTTGAAAAATACGTAAAAAACGTGCCTACGAGCCTTTTACATCGAAAAAGACACTTACTGGCGAAAAACTGATAAGATTGAATAGGTATTAAAGCATTAACATGTAAAAAATTTACATCAAACTAATCAGCGAATGTATCCAACATCTCCAAAAACACAACAACCTAATTATATTTTGGGTACCATGACACAAAAGAATTCAGGATAACGAAAAAACAGAGACCGTATATATGGCAGGACGTATTCTTGGGATAACTAACAGAGAATCCTCCATCACAGAATGGATCGGTAAAAGACAAAAAGAGTACTGGATAAACTGAAGAGGTACTGGACTACCGGTATTATTTATACCAATGATATGATTATTGATTATTTGTACGTGGGTTTCGATCATCATTAAGGTCATCCAGTGGGTGTCATTTATACGATACACAGTAATTACACATCTACACAAAACACAAACTCTTTAAGTGAATACAAATCTTTTGAGTCTAAAATTTCTATCATTTTATAAATTCATTTTTTTCACGTCTTACATGTATTTGTATAATTTAAACAATGTTCATAAATTCCAGGCTCTGAAGATGATCTCAATAAAGATCGAAACGTTGGCTCGATAAAGAAAATGTTTTTCTACATACACGTCACACCAGACCGCATCTCGCGATCTCCAAATAATCATTAATTAACGGTCACTAAATACCACACAGATAAGATTAATAATTTAATAGATTATTTCAAAGAGTACTATGAGACTACTGATCGTAATGTATAGTACATTTATTTCTGCAGGAATTCGCTCTATTGTGCAGTTAGACGGACTTACTATTGGTTTTAAGTTTTCAATAATAATTGTATGAATAATTTAATGGTTAGGATAAATGTATGCTCTGGAAGCTTGAAAGCAGTTTATAATTATGTTTCGAAATTACCAGAAAATCGTATTTCAACGTCATGTCATTCTTGAATAAAGCTCATTCAAATCAAAGTACAGAATGGTAGCTTTGGGCTTAATGTTTCCCTTGATCTAAATACTAATATCAGTAACACCATCATCGTAAAACGATACAAATTTTTTCTAAAGATTATAAAACGTTTTGAAATTAACTTATAAAGGTTACTATATCAGACAATTCGTTGTAAGATCGTGATTTTAATAACTTCGTATATACATTTTTTTTCAAATCAAAGGATCTTCGCCACCCCTTGCAAAATCACAGCCCATAAATTAATGGCGTATCATGCGACGCACGTGTTTCCACGGAAAACAATGGCAGTCGTAAGAGGGGGAAACAATCTGTTGATCCTGTTCAAAAGTGCGTGTATAACTGACCCTAACAGTGTGATTCCTGCAGGGAGAACCGGAGGGGGGAAAGCGGCAAATTTCTTGCGGAACATATGTGCTCAATGTGTTGTAACTTGAGGCTAACGTGAAATGACAGACCCCACCAAACACTATTGTCGTTTTGAGCCGATGATGAAACCCGTTTATTCTCGCACCATTTCACATGCCACCCTCTCTCGGATACGTTGAACTGCAAATACTGGATACTTCTCATCCGCACTGTGAGAATTAGCCCAAATGGTCGTTGTTCGTGCGGAAATTAAAAAAGAAATAATACCACCTGTAATGTTCTTCGACGTATGAAGCTTTTGTATTATTTATGAGATGATTTATGAGAACCTTAACTGTAGTTTGATTTGTAAGAAGATACATGAAAAGGTTCAAAATAATTATGTTTGCATAATTAATCGTGTGTGCAAAAATTTTATTTTAAAATCAATATGGTTTAAACTTAAGTACCGTCAATTAATTATCAATAAGTGCTTATAAAAGTTATTATATATTAAATCTTCGTTTTTAAATATTTTTGGATTTTTTTAAATGGATTTTACATTATAGTTTATCATTGATAATCATTATATATTTATAAGCCAATTACAGAATATTTGAAACAAGAGTCTATAACGATGGGCATATTGATTCAGTCAATTAATTGGTTTTGTACTCCAAGCTTTAATGTTGTGATCAATTTGCCCATCTGGTGGATGATGCCAAAAAATATTTTTATTTCTAAATACCTTGTAGAAACATTTACGCATTGTCCATGCTGAATATTTATTTTAAACATTATAGTTATATATTGATTAATGTACATTATAATTATTATACCGCTTTAAAAAAAAAAACGCGCAACTAGTGGGACAGTCTAAGTTCTTGGAACTTAGAACTTGTAACTAAACTAACTCACTCAACAAGTTGACTCTAGAAAAGATGAAATTTAACTGATTTTCTTTATTTTTAATCTAAAGGGTATAAAAGGATTAGATCCATTTCGTAAAGGTAAACAATAAATTATTGACATTGTGATAACTTATAAGGCAACTATTATATACCTAGTTATTATAGAAAATAAACAAATAAACACAAGTACCTTGTTATTTTGGTTTGTTATAAAAATTAAAAAAAAAGGTTAAATCCATTACATTTCGTGGCCCGATTACCAATTAACATTTTTCAATTAATTAATATTTATGAAAGGTATTGGTCGAGATAATATCAAAAAAACTCACTAGTTTTCGAGGTCCGCTTGACCAATTAATATCTTTCAATTAATGAAGGTTTTTAGTTGACATAAAAAGTCAGAGTCACGAGCGGGATTCGAACCCACGACCTTCGGCTAAATACGCCGCTTCTCCACCACTTGAGCTATCGTGAATTCGATCCGCTCGGGCACCAACTTTCCATCTCAACCTTTCTAATTTTCCGTCTTTATCTCGACCAATGCCTTTCATAAATATTAATTAATTGAAAAATGTTAATTGGTTAATCGGACCAAGAACTGTAATGGATTTAATAATTAAGCTGAATTACATTTTCACTAAAGATCTCCGTGGCCATTTCATTTGTCGCCGAGAATCAAATATATTACACGGCATTTGAAAAATGGCAAAAAGGAGGAAAATTCGAGAGGTGAGGTTAAGATGGGAAATTAGTGTCCGAGTGGATCAAGTGGTTGAGCAGCGGGGTATCTAGCCGAAGGTCGTGGGTTCGAATCCCGCTCATGACACTGATTTTTTATCTCGACCAATGCCTTTCATAAATATTAATTAATTAAATAAAATGTTGAGGAAAGAAAGGTCCAAGGTATGATGATATGATTGTAATATAAATAATATATGTAACAAATAATTGAAATATGAATAAATGAAAGAATAAATCTGTTATCTAATCTACTTCATCAAAGTTCATAACTGCACTAAAGCAAAAAACAACGTAATTTTAAAAAAATCGAACACCTATTCTGATTGTATAAAATTAATTAAGGTTTTTAGTTGAGATAAAAAAAGTCAATGGAACGAGCGGGATTCGATTGCCATTGACTTTTTTATCTCAACTAAAAACCTTAATTAATTGTAATATATTAGTTGGTCAAGCGGACCACGAAATTAGTGAATTTAATTGTATAAAATGTTGCTTTTTTAATTATAATAAAAACTCAAATTATTGTTCGATCTAAGCTTTTATTCCCAGTTTAATTAAATTGTATTTGAACGCATAGGTTTCAAAATTTTGAATAAATCGTTGTATTTGTTAACGTGTTAAATTAGAAATTCGATATTTAATGAGGTCGTAAAGAAGGCTTAAAAATGTGTTTTTTCTTACCGTTTAGGCTGATAGGTATAATTTAAGGTAGATCACTAATATATATAGGAAGCAACAAATCTTGTTATTTACTTCAAGTTTACCCGTAAATAACTGATCATGTAATGCAACGTCTGCCCGTTTTAAATATTGGAATATCTGGAAACAAATGGACTCATCAGCAGATAATAATGTTTGTGTTGAATGTACAAAATAAACACATATCGATTGAACTTCGCATATTTAAGCCTTTCATGTAAACAACACGCTCCAGAAAGAAAAGACCCTTCAATAGAGGATTGATATGTAAACCTCAGAATGCCGGAGCCAGGGGCGCAAATATTTTCAAGGCCATGAGGGTTTTTTGTTTAAAACTGGGTGAATGGCGAAAGAACAGAACAAATGTTAATCCGAG